TCCTAAACCTCCACCCCCGCCCCCACAAAAATACCCCTCAACACATCAACCCCGAACTCACGAACCCTAAACCCTTGCTACACCACCAAACTACACCACCACTGACACCCTCAACCCTTAGCTTGCGAACACTCAACCCTAAAGCCTGAACCCTAAAACTCCAAACCCGAAAAACCCAAACCCTCAGCCCCCAAACCTGAAAATCTGAAAAAGGGAACTCCTTCCACCCAAAGACCCCAAAACCCTGAAGCCCTAAACCTCTAAACCTCAAAATCTCAAAACGGAACTCCTTCCACCCCAAAGCCCGAAAACCTAAGCCCCTAAACCTCAAAACCTCACAAAGGGACTCCTTCCACCCTAAACCCCAAACCCCAAACCCTAAACCCTAAACCCCTAAACCCCTAAACCCCTAAACCCCTAAACCCCTAAACCCCTAAACCCCTAAACCCCTAAACCCCTAAACCCCTAAACCCCTAACCCCAAAACCTATACCCTAAACCCTAAACCCTAAACCCCAAACCCTAAACCCCTAAACCCCTAACCCCAAACCCTAAACCCTAAAAACAGAAGTGCTTCTGGCGCCTCCGGGTGCGCCGAGTGCCCCGAGCTTGCCATCCGAGGCGCGGCCGCCTTGGCAGTTTTGACGCCTTTTTTAAGCTTGTTGGGGGTTTAGGGTTTGGGGTTTGGGGTTTGGGGTTTGGGGTTTAGGGTTTAGGGTTTAGGGTTCAGGTCATCTCTCTGAACTACGTGGTATTTAGGGCTTTCGGGCTCGCACCCTCGACAGAAGCAGTGCTAGTTCCCCATTGCTCGCCTTAAACGCGATGCGGCCTGCCTTCGAAGATGAGCTACGGCCCCACATGTCGGAGCAAGGAACCCAGACAAGCCCTCCACCCATCCTTCCTGCACACCCTTATACAGCCCTCGGACACCACTTGAGACACCAAGTCGCCCCCCCCCAACCAACCTGCCCTCTTCAGGTCGCTATGGACCATACTCCCACACTTTAGGGGTCAGGAAAACTTTAGCCGAGTCTAACACCAAGCCGTGGCCCTGCCTACCTGAGGTCCTTGGTAGCCCAGTAGCCAGAGTAGGAATAAAGGTCCCCTTTGTGGGGCTGGTTACTTTAGCACCCTCTGTGGGGGGTTGGTTACGTTTATGAGGGGAAGAAAGGGCAAGAGGTGGCACCTCCGAGCTACCAAGGCTCCCTCAAGAGTTTAGGGTTTAGGGTTTAGGGTTTAGGGTTTAGGGTTTAGGGTTTAGGGTTTATCTGACCAAAAGAATGCCATGGGTTCAAGATGAAAGTGTAGTAGTGGGGTTGTTCCAAACGAGGGAACCTTGTCTTCCCAGGAGCCTCATGATTGTTATAGTTGTTCTGAGTGTTGTTTTTGCTAGTGTTCTTGCTGTGAATATTCTAGAAATTCCAAATCCGGGGCCCACGCCCAAGCAGAGGAACACTCCCCCGCAGGAGGAGAAGAAGTTGGCCTTAACCAGCGGAGCATCCGCGGGTTTTTGGTTGAGTCAAGGGCTTAGGGCATGGGACGTTAGGATACCTTGGACCCTCGAAAACCCTAAACCCCCTGAACCCTAAACCCTAAACCCCCTGACCCCTAAATCCCCTGAACCCTAAACCCCCTAAACCCTAAACCCCCTGAACCCTAAACCCTAAACCCCCTAAACCCCCTGAACCCTAAACCCTAAACCCTAAACCCCCTGAATCCTAAACCCTAAACCCCTGAACCCTAAACCCTACAACCTAAGCCCTAAACCCTACACCCGTAAGAACCACGGCCTCAGAACCTGAACCGAGCCCCCATGTTGGGCGCGGTTCCTGCTTCAAAGGGGCTGAGGGAACTTATTGAGTCGGTCATAGGTTTATGGTTTTGGGGTTTTAGGCTTTTGTGGATTTAGGGACACGGTAGAGCCATGAGTGCACCAAGTTGGCTTGGCCTAGCTGATAATGTCACCTTCCTACTAAGTTCCTCGCGCCCGTCTATACGAGAGGCGCCTTCTAACTCTCATAAGTGGGCACTTCTCTACATGAAATAAATCGTCTCTGGTTAACGGCACCTTTGTAGTCGAAAGCCCCCCCCCCCCGTTTTCGTCTCTTATGTTCGGGCTCAGTGCCTACCCAGCAATAAAAAGGCTACCCGTTTTTGTTTTAAGGGGCTACAAGGGAACCTAAGCCCTAAACAAGGGAATAAGGGCCTACTCTGGGTCCTAGTTATAGGGTTTAGGGATCAGCTGAGGTCATGGGGTGGGTCTGGGGTTGCATTTCTGTCTCTTCCTTCGCGGGCTATGTATGCACCCCGAAGCTCTTAACCTTAAGCCCTTTCCTGAGGGGGCTGAGGGGCTTCGGGGGCTTAAGGGCCTTAAGGGGGGTTGGGGGGCTTAGGGTTTCAGGTTTCGGGCTTAGGGTACCCCCAACCCCTTTCCTGGCCTGACAGAGGTCAGCATCCGGAGGCGCCATGCCGATGAAGATCGGGTGCGTCTTCGGGCTGTTCTGCGGAGGCAGTCTGGGCTGGAGGATGTAGGGCTCCCTAAACTTATAAACCCTAAATCCTAAACCCTAAAGCCCTAAACCCTGAACCCTATCTGTGGGTTCGGGTATATAGGGTTTAGGGGCTCATGGGGTTCCGGGTTTATAGGGTTTAGGGTTTATAGGATTTAGGGCCTATAGGGGTTAGGGTTTATAGGATTTAGGGTCGGGCTTATAGGCTTTAAGGTTTCGGGGGTGTCTGGGTTCGCGGGAATGCGCTGACCTTGGGCTACCACGAAGCCACGAAAGAACTAAGCCCAGAGCCACGAAACAAAAACGTCCCGGAACCAAGACCCTTTAAACCCGAAACACGAAACACTGGACCCCTGAACCTCCCAAAAAGAACCTATCACCAATCCTCCACCAACAAAGCCCCAAGCCCCCGGCAACATACAGTCGGCTCCTCTACTATTTGCTTAAGAACCTCCCAAAAATGTAAACTAATCTTGTGGGTTAGAGCTCGGCTCAAGCACTCACGGACGGTTTTCAGACCCAAGCAGCAAAGAAAGCTCTCGGTGTTTGACTTCTTCTTTTGAAGCTTATTTGGAAAAGCGTGTGATGTTGACTCTGTACACTTAAATGTTTTGTCATCTCACATGTGCTGTGTCTGGGCCTAAAGCCGCAGAACAACATAGATGCATGCCAAGACCCGATGACCCGATGCTGGCGAGATACCTGACGCCCAGGGGCTTTCGCTCTCCCCCTGCCTCAAAATGAGGCACATTCGTCGAGATCTCCCGCGGTGGCTCACTCATTCTGTTCTGGACGCAATTCAAGCTCGGTTCTTCCACGCCAAGCATTGTCATAGCAATGCCTTGCGTTGGTGGGATCATCAAAACGATCATCGCGGAGTTCGGTGCGACCGTCAGCATGAACGATCAGCGTCCTCCTTCTGCCCGTCAAGGATTGTCTTCGAATGACCTCTGGTAGGCGCGCGTCTGACGGACAGAACAAGCGCAATCTCGGCATCCCATGCCACCGGATCAAGACATTTGGACGGCGGTGAGCGTCGTAGATGAAGTGATCTCGGACTCCTGCTGGAGGGACTTGGAAGACGGCACTCAAAGGTCCTCCCCAAGGGCTAGCTGTTCTCAGCACCTCGTGGTTCGGAAGCTGTACAGGAACTGGCCACACTAGATGAGGTCTCAGAGGTGCTTGAGGAAAAGCAATCTGTTCACGCTGACTTCGGGCGTCCGCCTCGCGGTGAACCCCTTCGCTGTCTGCCCTTTGTACAGGCCTTGGCGGCAAAGGCGGAGCCTCTGGTGGTTCAATATCTGGTTCTTCTCGGTAAATGCGTTGGCCTAGATTCCGATTTCGAAGTCCGGCCTCAATAGCCCCAACCCGCGTGAGCCTTTCAAACTCTTGAGCTTGTGCCCTCTCAGCGAAGATTAACACCTCGTCATCTACATACCTTATCACCTCTTGCGGGACTGGCATCTGAGCAATTTGTCGTTCGGGCTCTTCATGGGGGCGAGGGATTGGTGGGCCTATTTGGGGAAGCTCTCGAAGATCATCCTCATGATCAGGCTGCACTTCGCTGAGTGTGTCTAGCTCTGCTTCGGGTTCTTCGATGTCACGGTTTCCCCATAACTTAACCCAAAAAGTCCAAATTCCCTTCCTGAGCAACCACTTCAAGGCTTCCCAAACAACAATGCTGCACACCGCAACCATGCATATGAAGATAGTGAAGTCCCACTCCCTTTCCGAACTCAGGTCAGGCTCAGTCCTGACTGTTTCGGCCTCTGTCGCGCACAGCAACAGCACCACTGAAACCAATGCCCTTTGGCTGACGGAGACTCCGCTCTGATTAGCGACAGGTGCGGGGGACAACGTGCCTTGGTCCTTCAAGGAACCCAGCCCCAACACTTGCATCAACTCCTGAAGTCGCTGCAATGGAACGGACTTTGTCCCGAGGTCTGCTCCATTTCTGGAGCTTGAGACATACCCAACCACAACCTGGTCAGCAAGATATTGTTCCTTCAGAGCTGCTGCCCTGATTCTCAAGTGGCGAGTCCGCCAGGATGCATTATCTACTTGAATGATTTGTAGGCAAGCTTGGTTATCGTTGAGCACCACAAGGCGGACGTCACCTCCGCACAGCTCACTTGCTAACAGCTGGTGGGCCCTACCTACGTTGAACCCAGTCATGGTGCTTAAGAGTTCTGACTCGGCAGTGGACTGGGCCGTAAATGGTTGCTTACTGGACAGCCAGGTCACAATAGCTCCCTCTTGAAAGAGTATAGCGCACTCCTGGCTTCGTCCGGCTAGCGGGGCGAAGCCCGCGTCGGTATGGACCTCTAAAACATTGGCTCCTGAGACTGTCGCTACACTACCAGACTCACCTAAGGTGGGGACCTTGGGGCCATACACTAGCGCTACATCGACTGTGTTGAACAAGTACCCTAGTAGATGTTCGATGTACGGTAATGTGGCCACTGGGTTGCGCGACATTTCTGAGGCCAATTTGCTCACGCCATACATAAGATCGGGCCGGGTACGCGTAGCAATCCAGAGCATCTCTCCGAGAGACGTCTGGCACGCGCGGAGTGCGTTTGGGTCTTTCTCCTCCACAGCCAGTTCAGGGATTTCGAAATTTCCGGGCGGCAACGGAGTGGTTTGCAGTTTCACATGCGGGTACCGTTTCATGAGATCTTGAATATACCCCTGTTGCCCCAAAATCAGCTGATTTCCCCTCCAGGCAAACTCAATGCCAAAGAACGAGGCTGTTCCTTCGATCAACTGCGGAATTTTCTTCATTGACCCTGTCTCCCACGCAGCCTTAATCTTGTTCACAACAGCAAGCGCTACAGCCCGGGGCCCCATGATCAGAATATCGTCCACATAGACTGCTATCCACGCGAGCGCAGGGCCTGGTTGAAGATCGCAATCTGCATTCGCAACTCTAAGGGCCCACACTTGCGAGTCTGAGGCTGAGGGAACCAACTTCATCACCTTTCCCAGGGCTTCCCGGGTTGAGTGATCAAGCGATGGCATTTCTTCTGGGGTCACGTCAGTGGGCGGCACAACGATCTCCATGCCTGCTATGGTGACATCTCTTGTGATGCCCCAATCTCTAGGAGATTGGGGTAGTCCGTAGACCGCCCTCAAGCAAAGGAAATACTCATCACTTTTTGCCAACCCATGCGCTATCAGGATCTTTGGAGGTTTCACGGCAATAATCTCAGCGGGGTTCTCGGTCATTGTTGGAGGTGGGGCAGTGCGCGGCTTTATGGGATCCAACAACAAACTGTTCAGGAATGCTGTTTTGATGTCCAACAAAAAACCTGCCCAGCCAACTCGAGCCCCTCTAGCAGCAATTTGTCTCACATGTGACACCTCGCAACCCGCAGCATACAACGACGCTTGATCCCCCTGACTGTCGCCGTTTCCAGAACCCTGAGGGACAAAGTTTCCGCAAATCACCACTCTGCACTTAAAACGGCCACCCGATTTGCGGGTGAAGATTGCTTTCCCAGGAACCATGACTACCTTCGTTCCACGCTCCTCTAACCGCTTTAGATCTGCAAGAGAGGCCCGTTTGAAAGCACCCTTCTCCTCAATCAAGGACTGCAGCTCTTGTTCAGCAGCTTTTCTCCAGAGATGAAAATGCTTGTACACCTCTTGAAGGGGAACAGTATGGCTACTCAGGATTTCACAGTCAGGCAAAAGGGAAAACTCAACTTCTTCAGGGGCCTTTTCCACAGCTTTATCCTGAGCCTGCCCTAACGCGCGCACAGCTTTGACGAGAAACTCTTCAGAAACTGCACAGTCTTCAAGGGTTTGGGCTTCTCTTTTCAAAAACTCGCACTCACGATCAATCATCATCTTCAAGTTGAGGGCTCGATTTTCAAAGGCTTCGAAGCCCTCCCCATCCCACATACATCCTATAGAGGAATCTTCTTCACAGGAGGTGGCATCAACAAAGAAGCCACACTCTGGAGCCTCAAAAACAGTAAGGCCCTCAACACTTTCCAAACTTTCACAGCAGCCCATGTCCGTAGGGCCATTGCCCTCAGCACAAGCACGAAGCTGATCCTCTGCCTGGTTCTCGCCAGACCTTTCCCCAGGCTCCTCTCGAGCATCACGAGCATCGCAGCCTCCAGCCCCAATGCTTCCCGCCCTCGTCCCGGTCCTAGCAAGCTCCCCCGGACCGCCACCACCCCAACCTGGGCAACTGGCATCCTGGCCGGAGGCCTCATACTGCGTCACGTACCGTTCACACAACGTGCACACCCCAACTGGATCCGCACAACACGCACTACACACTAGACATGTCTTCATTTCGCCAGCCGGAGCCGGGTCAACACCACGCCAACCCCCTACTCCAACTTCATCAGCATCCCCCGCTCCTACGCCGGCCGGAGCCGGGGACCTCTCAACAACCCCTGCCTCAGACTCAACGTTCCAAGGCACATGAACACACTCAGGTTCTTCAGCAAACGACACATGTTTCTGAGGAGCTGCGCAAGTTATGTTTGGTTTTTTAGGGTTTTGGGAAAAATGCGGCTCAGCAAACTCAGAAAAACCACTCTCACCATCTGGGCTCCCTCCCCCCTCCCGAGCATCGGGAGCATCAGGTAGCATGAACCCAGCTTCCTGCAACTGAAGACGCTCAGCTGACGTCAACAACAAAGAACCCTTTACCGAGAAGGCCACGAGCAAAACCCTAGTTCCCTCAGTCCAGGGTTGCGCGCTATGCCATTTGTGGGGGTCAAGCAGGAAGGGCTGGAACTTCTGAAGGTCCACCACCCTCCCCCGAACCCACAAACCCGTCCGAACCTCCCGAAGATCATGGCCCTGGGAGTCCTCGATCCAGATACCTCCCCCGTTCCCTGGAGAAGGCAATTCAAGCGGCACAATGATGTTATTTTGGGGTAAGTTGTACTTGTCTTTGTGGGGTAGGGCACAAGTTTGCATCAAAAGGGCTATGCTAGTAAAAGGGGCCCGAGGAGCGGCCTCCTTAA